CGGTCCTGCATTTGGGCTAGGAACCTATGTGAGCGGTCAGACCTGGCTGTCTGGAAAGTCCTCCCAGCAGATGTCTGGGAAGTTCAGGTCCCCCATGATGACCACGTCCTTTGACCTGACCACCTCTGCGAGCTGACTGAAGAATTCCTGGTCGAGCTCTTCCCCGTGGTTGGGGGGTGCGGCAGGGCACTAAGGTGCCTGCTACTGACAAACAGTAATATGGGCTCAGCTGCCAGTCACCGGGGCAGCACAGGCGTGGGTTGCCGAGACAACCAGTTTGGTCAGCTGACCAGAAGGGGGCAGGGCCTGGCCTATATAAACAAGCCAGGCTGGCAGTTGAGGAAGGTGGAGGTCTGTTGGAGCAAGCTGAGTGGGGAAGGCTGGCGGCCTGAGACCCTTCTGCGGGATGGTACAGAGTGGAGGAAGCCCTGGTAGGGAGATGAATGAGGGATAGCCAGTGGCTTGGAATTTAGGTTGTAGCCCAGGAGTGGGAGTTTTCTGTTTTGTTGTTGGATAAGACCGGAGGACCGGGTGAGGCTGTAGGGGTTGGAGGAGGCCTCATAGGAGCTCCCCAGTAGTGTGGGGGTTCCTGGTGCTGGAGAGGGTGCTGGGTTTTGGGGGTGTATTGATCCCGGCCCCAGTGTGGGCAGTAGCCGGGGGGTAAAGCCCCAGTGTGGGTGCAGGCGAGAAGCCCCAGTGGGGCACAAGACCCGGAAAGGGGGTCTGGAGGCCAGGCACAGCTACGGCCACCTGAGCCTTGATTGTGAGGAGCCCCAGTGGGGTGTAGGACCTGAGAACGGGGTCTGGGGTCCAGGCACGGCTATGGCCACCTGAGCCTCGAAAGCGGGAATTGCAAGGCAAGGTCCCAGAGCAGGCGAGAGTGCAGGAGAAGCCAGGGAGCACCCAAGAGGGCGCAGGCAGACAGGGAGACAAGCCGGAGAGTGTCCGTGAGGGCATGGGCAATGGAGACGAGGCAGAGAGCCCGTGAGGGCCCTGGTGACTGTAGGGCCCACGCGTAGCCCCTAAGGCTGGAGTGCACCAGGCAACTAGACAGAGCCAAGATACATCAGGGCACCATGTCAAAGTAGATAGAAAGGCAGCCTCCCCTAAACACTTTAGACATCAAAGAGGTGGCGGGCGAGATTGGTGAGGGTGCGTTGATACCGACTTGACACAGTAGGGGGCGCTAGGGGAGTTCACAGCCGCCCCTAGGTCGCACCCT